GCTGAATCCAACGCATTTGTACAGGCATAAAGCTGGGCAAGATAACAGTCAGGTCTGCTGTGGAAAAAGGTAAGGGACCACTTAGTGCCTGCAACTTCTGACTTCCATGGTAGAGGAGAAAAGGAGACGATACTGTTCCCAAAACTGGGCTTGCCAGTAGCAATTACATGCCTACTCTCAGTGTACTGCTACTCAATTTAACAATTAGAAACACTTTTTAATATTTGTCTCTTTGATAGAGGTAATTAGGTTTTAATGTTTAAGAAATGTATTGCAGTACATGAAAGTGGTATTTTAAACGCCTATGAAGAAGCTATTGTCAGTAATTAAACTCCATTTCAAACTGGCAGGAACGGTTCACAGAATAGGGCTTAATACCATTTTCTAAGGTGGCATTTAAAATTATATGGAGAGAGATGCAACAGCAAAGCTCACCATTTGGTTTGTTAGAGGCAAAATCTTGCCCTCTTTTAAACTAGTTTCAAAGGAGATAAAGGAACTGAACCAGTTAACCACTCAGGCTATCCAAAAATTTGAATCACAGCATGTAGGGATGAGCTATGAACATTGCACTTACCACATGGTGTAATGATCCGAAAAGACGTCCTCTGGCTGGAAGATCTCACCATCATAGTAACAAGAGCAGTGGGACTTTGGCACGCACTGCTCATGCTCGTCCAGGTAGTGCCCGGGGGGACAGTAGCATCCTTCCACACAGAGCTCTCCATCGCAGTCCTCATCCGGGTAGGACAGAGATCTGCAGGTCTGGTTGCACGGTGTCCCACACTGCCGGTACACTTGGCCTTCAGGACAGGTCATTGCTGTCGAATGATATGCACATCAGGGAGACTGGCATTGGATTCAAAGCCAACTAAAGGAAGAGCTGCCTAAACCAGACTGGAAAGCTGGGGATCAAAACGTATTTTCTCAATTTACTCACCAACGGAGGCCTGTCTTACACTGGCTCGCCATAATGCCGCAGCACCAGTGAAGTCTAGGGCACTGTTTACATATACACAAGAAAAACCTTATTACATGCAGTTCCCAATAAATGTCGGGATTGGATTGCAACCCCTGCAACGGAAATCCATCCACAAAATTTCATCCAGAATGAAAAACATGGGCTCTGTCCAACCTCTGTTATTAATTGGATGTACAAGTTAGGAGCATTACAAGTGTCAGGTACACATTTACACTGCTCTTCCTTCGCAACATGGTTAGGGGCAATTTGAGCAAAATAAGCAGAAACGTAGGTTTCTGTCTTTATAAGCAAGTGCTGCAACAGTTTAAAGCCTCGCATCCCAGAAGCTCTCAGTGATTGCTGTGGAAAAAGTTGCAAGTAACGAAGTCATTTAGTGATTGTGGAGCCAAATCTTGGGTACTGACGATTTTTGATGATGAATTCATTTTGATGGAGATCTAATTATGGCCTTTGGAGCCATTTTTTTGCTTCTTTGTTTCTAAAGCTTCCACTTAGCTCTACAGCGCAGATTTTGAGGCAATCTCCTCTGCACACATCAGCATCGGCACTAGATGGCAGCTATGACAACACATTTCAAAAGATGAGAAAACAAGTTAATATTATCACAGGCTTTTAACAGGTCTCCTGATAACCAGGATTCACAAAACCTGTCGTTTGTAGCAACCTTCCAAAGCAAACAGCCAGAGTTGTAAGGTAGGATGTTCAGCGGAGCGAGGGAAGCAGCTGCAAATAAAAGTTGGCACGTTTGTACTGTGCTAAAACCAAGATCAAGGGGTTACAGAAAAAACTCTTCCTCTTGTCATCCCTGCAGAATGATCCGATAACCCCTACCCACTTTTCTGCGAGCGCACACCCCTGGGAACTGTAGCAGCAATGGCTGTAAAATAAAAACTACAGTAGCCTCACCCAGCTGCTAGCAGGGCTGAACTAACACTGAGGCTAACAAAGCCAGGCCTACGTGCCAACCAATGTCTAATGCTTACCTTCACAAAATTCTTCTGAAATGAAGAATTACTCCTACTTACTGAAGAGAGGGTCTAGTTGCACCAACATCTCCCCAACTTCTGCTGAGGCACCTGAAGTCCCATGTACAGGAGTAAACCCCTAACTTGAGGACCCAACCCAGAGTCATCTAAGGTGACTTGAAGCCTTCTTCAAGGCAAAAATCTCCCAAGTTCGGGACTTGTGCTCAAACTATTCAACATACCTTTCACAACACAGCCCAAGAAATTTATATGTGCTCATCAACACAGTCAGCAGAGTAAATACGTCCTAAGTCAGAAATAAATGGATGATAGATTCACCCACGGTTACAGGACTCTTTGGCAACTATTCACAGAACAGTGCTTCCAATTTACATAAACACAATCTTTGCAGTAAATCAAATACTGAACAGGCACCAAAAGTAACTTTCATCACTAAAGACATGTGCAAGCAGGACAACCATGAAGCCTCAGCCAAAACTATGATTTGCTACACAGGAACCTCTGGAAACAAGGAACTGGTTTGGCAGATTTCAGGCGGGTATACCCGTTTACTACAGTTTCAAGATTCAAAAAGGATAGGACAACTAAGCCCAACATCTTGCCTACTTTCTAGTCAGAGGTAACACTCCCTGCCCACAGGGACAACTTTGCAGTAGATCCCTTTCTTAGCTAAAGCTTTGTAACTCATCTTACCTGCCCATGCACTTCCTAAGATTTTAGAAACATTACCCGTTTTTCCAGTTATGCTACCCAATGCCATGTTCATACTCCAAGTCCCAATACATTGCTCCATCACCTCCCAGCAACATCTGTTTTTAACAGCAAATACACAAGAGAACTGACCTGGGAGGAGACTGTTGTCTGTACACTTTGTAATACATTGTCACTCAAAAAAACCCCATCCCATTATTGCCAAGAAAATGAGAGGAAAAGGGGAGGTGTATCTAGCTTCTATGGATGCCTGTTCTAAAACCGAACAGCTCAATGCTGTGCTCTGAAGCTCAGCCTGTCCCAGGGATAAGATAGGAAATAGCGGGAAAGCATTGGAAAAACGTGTCTCCATCACATAGTTCATCCAGCTTCTTGCAGATGGGTTTTCAACCCAGAGTGAAATACATCCTGACTAGTTTCTCGGGTAGCGCAAGGTGAAAATGCAATCACACCTAGGTCAGAGGCTCTGGGTGAAGATGCACCCTGTCAAGACTAGATTTAACACAGCTGCTCCACCAGCACCAGCCAACATGCCGAGCCCCACCATGCCGTGTAGCCATCCTCAAATGCTGCTCAGAGCCTGCCCATAATTCCCTACTCCCCACACTCCAGCACTCTTGGATTTATCCCATACAAATCCTCTCACAGAAGCCATGCAAAGACAATAAACTACCCAGCACCACCACATTAAGGAAAATAGTGGACTTACCAACAGGTCCTAAATCCTGAAGAAAGATCTAGGGACCTGTTGACTGATTCCCCTTTGCCACGAAACAATACATGCATACATACATATATATTTACACACATGAGACAGAATCATACAACCACAGAATCAATAAGGCTGGAAGAGACCTCTGGGATCATCAAGTCCAATGTTTGCCCTAACACCACCATGTCAACTGAGTGCCACGTCCAGTCTTTTATTAAACACCTCCAGGGATGGTGACTCCACCACCTCCCTGGGCAGCCCATTCCAACGCCTAACTACCCTTTCTGTGAAGAGATGCCTCCTCATTTCTAGCCTGAACTTCCCCTGGTGCAGTTTCAGACTATGTCCTCTTGTCCTATCGCTTGTTACTTGCGAGAAGAGACTGACCCCCACCTGGCTACCCCCTCCTTTCAGGTCGTTGTAGAGAGCTATCAGGTCTCCCCT